TAAAGATGGGAAAAGACTGGAGCTGTTTGAAAACTAAAGTACATAAAGTTTGCTGCTTGTTCTGCCCTTACTTGAGACTAGGGACGTAAAAAGTCAGTTAAAAAGGCAAGCATGTAACCACAGAAAATCCCAGTTACACGTGCTGTGAGTGCTGCTGTATAAATTTTAACTAAACTTTATACTTCAGAGCCCGCAGCAAAGCCTCACCGGGAGTGGGACTATCAGCCCCTGCTGGTGCTGATCCCAGGGAAGCTTCATTGTGGGCTCTGCAGCCAGCTTCCCAGGAGCGGGGCTGGCAGGGGAGCCAATGTGTAACCTGTGGCAGGGGAGGGTGGACAGGCAGGCCAGCTCCGTCATGGACAGGGGTTGTTCTGCCGGCCCACTAGAGTAGCCCCTGCCCACAGTGAGCCCTGCACTGGGATGGGCGGTGAGCTGCTCCACCCCCTGTGGTTAACTGGAACCAGTAATGCATACCGGTTAACCTTTCACATCCCTATTTGAGACATGGTTTTAGATGTTGATGAAGAGGAGACCAAAAGGTAAAGTGAAGTCACATATTGTGTAATACCTGAAGACAAATATTTCTTGATCCATTTGGGAAAAGAGAAAAAAACTGGTGGTGTGATTTATCTGAGTTTCCAGAAGAGTTTGGATGGTTGGTAGGAAGAATTATCAAAATCATGTTTTGAAACTTTTACATATACAGATACATATACACTCAGAAAACAAATACATATTTTATATGCATAAAGGGAACTTTTAAGCCTGCGTTTGTGTTGGGGAAGGGGAAACTTTCCATGCAAAAAGTTTCTTGAAATAAATGGACTTTATTTGTTGTTGTTTTGAATTATACCTAGTTACTCAGCATACAGGAAGGAAAACATAAACTCTGTTTCCTTTGCACTTTAAGATAGTGACTTATTTGGATTATGATGCAGCATTCCTCTTTGGAACTTCAGTTGCCAAAGCATGAGATATGTTCCATAGTATGCTGGGAACACCCTACTTGTGTAAGTGATCTAAAATTATATCAAATTTCTGGTGGCAATAAAGACAATATTGGAGTTTTAAAACAGCTGTTTTTTTGTGTCCCAGTTTACCTGCACATACATCACTATCTATTTTAGACTAAAGCTGCTTCAAAAAGTGGTTTTTTTTGTGTTAGTATGTTGTCATAATTAACTAACAGGGCACTCTTACTGCTGTACTGTAGAGTTGCAGTTGGAAAATTTTTGCTATGTCATTCAGTAGAAAAGAAAGTCAAATTTGTAATTTAGAAATCTGGAAAAAAAGACCAGACGTTTTTGTCAGTACAGCACTTTTAACTTTTTAGATAAAAATGACTTTTCCAAATCAAATCAAAGGCAGTTGTTCTTTGGCAGTTCTATTAAATTGCAATTACTTGTTGAGTAGCATTTCCTTATAGAGAATTTAGATCTGAACTTATGGGTGATAATGCTGTTATTTGTGAGAGTGGTGAATTGCTAAGCTTTTCAAAAATTTTGGAGAAGGAAATAAATTGCAGTATAATAAGTAGAAGTTGTGTCTTTGTTTTGTTGTGTCTTTTGGTCTGGCAATCAGAAATATTGAAGACATTAAAAGGTTTTCCTTTTATGTGGTATTTTTTTTTAAATCTAGCTTCCTTCCTACTTTTCTCAGTTTCTCTTTCCTGTTAGGTGAACTGATGTTACAGGAAAGGGGATACGTGTTTGGTTCAAAATTGGTTGCAGTCTGAACCTGTATCTCTACCTCTCTATTTCTTCTCCACCTTTCACAGATGCATTAGGATTAGGGATGTCAAATCCTGTTTAACTGGTTAACCAGTTAATTATGATGTTTAATTGGTTGACTGATTAAAAGGGGACAGGCAAGAGGCCCCACTCTAGCTCGGCTGGGCTATAGCGGCACCCCACCTTCCAGGACCGGGCTAGAGAGCCCTCACCTCATGCTTATCAGTTAGTATTTTGACTAGTCAACTAGTTGATAGCCTCCCCCTTTGCTGCCTCTATAAGATAAAAACCCCAGGTGCCTTTCAAAGGGGCATCCACCGCCCCTTTTAATGCCACCTGTGCACCTTTCAAAGGGGCAGCCGTGGAGCCTAGAATCTTGTGGCATTTTCCCAGAACTTGGGAGCAGCTAGAGACTCCCCAACTGATCCAGGATTCTAGGGAAACGCCGCAAGGAGCCTGGGATCAGCTGGGGAGTCCGGGGTCAGCTGGGGACTCTCAGCTGACACCAGGCTCCTCGCGGCAGTGGAACCCGAGGTCAGCTGGGGAGTCCCCAACTGATCCCGGGTTCCAGGGAAATGCCACCGGGACCCTGGGGTCAGCTGGCTCCAGGTCTGCCCCTTTAAAATGCTGCCTCTGCTTCCCCTGGAACCCAGGGTCAGCTGGGGAGTTGACCCACTCTGTGCTGCTGCTTTTGTATCAGAGGCAGCAGCATGGGTTGCCAGGGGGAAACTGGTCTGTGAGGGGAGCCAGTTTAAAAACTAGCCTCCCTCATGGGCCGCTGCCTGTTGCCCCACAGTATTGCTTTTGCTACAGAGGCAACAGTGTAGGGTGGAGCTCCCAGACCCAGCACGAGCCAGAACTGAGCTGGGCTGCCTGTCCGCCTGGCTCCTAATACATGTTAAATGCATAACTGCAGTGGGGAGAGGCCCCCTGGGCCTGACGGGAATGTGTGTAGCCTATAGCATTATCCTATAAGCTTTTGCTTATCAGTTAATCGTCTACAATATTACATCCCTAAGTTTGACATCCAAAGTTTTGAACCTACTATGCAATGTGGATTTCTCATCTCTTCCTTGGTTCTCTATCATGTCTCCAGACTAAAATTAGCCTTCAAAGAAGAAGGCCTCTACCTATACCAGGGTCCTAAAAGTTAAATTCAATTCTAGGAAAAACTTTAAAAAAAACAACAAATGGTCTTGAAGCATCCCTGGATCCCTTCCATTCACCTGCAGAAGTGGTTTGTGCCCATGAAAGCTCATGATAGCATCTACATTTTTTTGTTAGTGTCTAAGGTGCTGCAGGACCATTCTTTTAAAGTTTTTTCAGTTACAGACTAACACGGCTACCGCCTAAGACTTTTACGTTCCAGGATACATTTTCTGAAGTTGGAGCAGGCCTTTGCCAAAGTGTCACGAAGTCTGTCAGGATAAGAATCTTGAGCAAGCATCTAACCAAGTTCCCAGACAGAATCCATTAATCCTCTCCATGTGAGAGACTGTACTATCACAAGCCTCAATGGTTCAGATATACTCCTCCCACTACCATCTCACACTGCTCATCCCATAAACAGTGCTCTGCTTATGCACTGCTTTTCCCTTTCTGTCCATGCTGTTTGCTCCCTCCTCCTGTTTGGTCAACTGCTCCTTCTTCCATTATATCATGTTCTTGTTCATAAAGTTGCAGGAATGGTGCCTATAACTTTCAGAAGCAGCTCCTGGGGTCATCACATGACACATTTTGCACAACCAGAGATGTAGGATGGTTTGGGGTGGCTGCTGCAGGCCCAATGCATTGGGGGGAACCTTCAGCAGCCACCTCAGTCATACTCTGGATGGGACCCCAGGACCCTGATTTGAGAAGCTGTTGAATTTGGTGAAGCTGTTGAATTTATTTGCCCTCCTTTCCACCCCTGCCCCAAATAACATGAACTGTAGCAGCCGTAGACCTCAGACTTAAAACACTGGAGTCAAGTCAGTGCTTTGGGACAGGACATGCTGACATGGTTATTAACTCTAAAGACAAGTCAATGGACAAGTGTTTTGATGTCATCTAGTGGGATAGAGGTGTTTGAATGATTTATCCCACTGATTTTTGTGTACGTTTGGATAGCATTACTGTAGTTAGTAGTCTGTTCTTCAGAAGTTCGAAGTTTCTGTTGCTTCCTTTAAGCCAGTGGTTCTCAAACTTTTTGGCCCGTGGCCCACACTGCTTAACACAAACCTTTTTGCTAACCATCAACCAACCACCCATATTGACAGAATTGGGTGCAGGAGTAAGCTGAGGGTGGAGGTCTGGGTTGGAGGTTGGCTGCAAGAGCAGGCTGGGGTTGGGTGGAGGCTGGGTGCAGGAGAAGGCTGGGGTTGAGTGGGGGGATCTTGGTGAGATGGGGTGTGTAAGGAGAATGTGGTGGGAGGCGTGTGTGAAGGGAATGGAGGTGCAGGGTCTGGTCATGAGGGAGATGGGGGGACACTTATGTGGCTTTGCAGCTCCAGCTACACCCTGGTGCCACTCTTCAAGCCCCAGCTACTCCCATTGGCCATGATTCTGGCCAATGAGAGCAGCAGGGAAAACCTCTTCAGATGAGGGGTTTCCTGTGCTGCCATTCCTCCCAGACCACACTTTGAGAACCACTACTTTAAGCCAAAGGGAGTTGTAAGGGCTGAGCACCTTTGCAAAGCAGGCCATTAGTGGTTAGTCCCCAATTTATTTTTACCCAGTGCTTGAAAGTTTAGAGAATTACAGAAAAATGTGTGTGGGATTTTGTGTTTCTACCATTTTCCCTCAAAACAGTATCTCATTCTTTGGATGTTAGTCATATTCCTCCTGTACAAGACCTTCTAGTCAAAGCTTTAAGGTCTTGTTACATTCTTTGCAACCCCCATTTCTTAGTGGATCAAAGAACATATTTGTTTGGCTTGTGAACAGTGACAATGGAAACAATCAGGGAACTTCCGCAAAACAGGCAGAATATTTTAAGGCAAGAATTCTCTATTTTTCTTTGTGTGGCTCTTTAAACACTATACTTCCTGATATTGTTATTGGTTGTGGTAGGGAACAACTGAAGCAAAACTAAATAAATATATGCTGAATAATAGTGCTAGCACTATAAGTGGGTGAAATTAAGGAAAGCTCTTGTATAATCTACTCAGGTTTGTGGCACATTGAGATATGTTTTTGTTGAATATATAAATGAGAAAGTGTTAGGATAATTTGATATTCCATCTGTGACAAAATTTGTGAGAAATGAACTGTCTCTCTGCTTTCTCATAGGTAGAGATACAGTAGCACAACATTAACATAATTGGGAGGATGGAGAGAAGGTGGGATATGTATAGCAAAGAAGGTTAAAGGTAAGCAGTAACCTTTTTCTTTCTAAATGAGCTTGGATATATTATACCTCAATTAAATAAAAACACAGTTGGAAAAATCGTTTACACTGCGTCAAGGGTAATGATTAAGGAAAAATGCACTAAAGTTACACACGGGTTAAAAGTAGTGGTTACTGAAATTCATTCTTTCATATTTATCTGTTTGTTAGATTGTAATTGTGTAATTAGAATTCATCTGCTTATTGGATAGGTCAAAGGTATTTTATTTGAAATAATTCCTTTCAAAGAGTGTTTTTTTGTCCAGTGTCATTAAGTTGCCCCGTATCACTAAAAGCTAAAATTGAGAGTAATGCATGCATGGTAATTGTACTAATTTATTGCATTTCCATTGCTGTCCATAAAACTAATTCCTTGTTTCAATAGATTTTGCAATGTGTAAGCTGTCATCAGTGAATGGTACAAGTGGGTTGGAATTTCATATCAGTACTGTCTATGAAGAGTGTTCCAAAGCCTGAGATCCCTTTCTCGTGATGGTTTATTTAAATGTGTTTTGGCTCATAAAACAAATAAATGGCTTCAAACAAGTATTTGGTAACCCTACCAATACATCTACATGCAGTATTGAGGGCATATGATAAAGAGGCACTGTCTAGAATGACATACAAAATTCATCCCTGTCCCCAATTTCCCATTTCAGCAGTAATTTCAGCCTATTTAAATACTGCAGCTTGTGAGATGGGTGACCCAGTAAATTGGGGATACCCGATTTGTTATAATTAGATTGTTTGTGTTTGTCATACATTTCTCAGGATCCTTGGCAATCCTTTATCCAGAAAAAAACCGCAAATAATTTAAAAGGCTTGCATCATTCTTGTTTAAATCTTTTAAACTATTTGTATTGGAAAAAAATTAAAATAATTATTTCATTTTATAGTAGTCCAAAAACTGGCACGTGGAACACAGTCCTTCTAAATCTATAATGATTTGTCAATTTAAGGAAGATTTCCAGAAAAAATTCCCCAAATGGTATATTTAACTGTGAAAGAGAAATTTGTAGCTTTTACTGTTTCATCGGTGTATAATTTATGTCTTGTAGACGGTGTTTGTTGAAGTGTAGGAGAATGTGAATTCTCAGATATGCTCAGTGCTGCCTTTGAAGTCAGTAGTGAAAAATTCTAAAGTGTGTGTGTGTGTGTGTGTGTGTGTGAATATTTATTGGTACCTCTTTTTTTCGGGCTTTGTGTAAAAATAAACTTTAAAAATAGTTTGAATTAAAAATCAAACAACTACTAACATGGAAGGAAAGATACTGAAGCTTAGATGAATCAAGTAAATATAAGGCCATGTGTAAGTTTGATGCCATGTATAGTTTGATATAAAATGGATACATAACATCTCACGCACAGTCCATTTGCAGTGGTTGATATAAATTGGGCAGTCTTGTAAGCTATTTATTTCATACCTACCTAAGCCTATTGAGAAACCATTTATCTAATTGAATTTCTTAAACACCTTGATTTTTGGAGTATCCTTACTTAACCAGAGAGTTCCGAATGAAAGATTTTGGTTTTTCTTGTAAAAGCACTAGATGGCATTTATTGCAGTGCAGAGTAAGACACTGTTTCACAAGGTAAAATGCAGCTTTCACAGTCACATTTTAATCATGAGAAACTACTTCATTTCTTAGCTTAGTGGTTTCTGATAATTGGTATTAATCAGGGGTTCTCAAACATTTTGGCATGTGGCTCACCCCACTCACAGGCCTTTCTGCAGACCACTGTCCAACCATCTATGATGACAAAATGGGTGCAGGAGGGGCTGGGAGTGCGTGGTGTGGCCGGGAGGTAGAGTGTAGGAGCAGGCTGAGAGTGAAGGGCCTGGGAGGAGGAGGTAGGGTGCTGGTGCAGGGTGTAGGCATGGAGTCTTGGTGGGAGGGGGATGGGGAGTGGGGTTTGGGTATGAGGGAGATGGGGGCACTTACCTGGCTCTCTGCCTCACGGGCTCCCAGGCATCACACCCTTGCTGCTCCCATTGGCTGTGATTTTGGCCTATGAGAACAGTGGGGAAAGCCTTCAGGCAAGCGATTTCCTGCACAGCTGTTCCCCCAGATGGGGAAAGGGAGCTTAGGGTTTCTTGCCCCGCAAACTAGATCCAGCCCATGAAGCTCACTCCTCCACCCCTCAGTGGAAAGCCCATGCTGGCACTCCAGCCTTGTGGGGTAGAGCTGCGGGGTTGGAGTGCCAGCACAGGCTCTCCACTATGGGTGTAGGGGGTGAGCGCTGAGCTTGTGGTCTACCTGCAAGATGGTCACACTTTGAGAACCACTGATCTAATAGAAAGGAGAGGATGAAGCACTGTGATGACAGTATAGTGGAAAGCAGTACTCTAACCATACATGCATTCTCCTATAGGGCAAAGCACCTTAGAGCCACATCACAATGAACAGTGAAGACAACACATAGAAGTCGTGAGATGGTAGTCTTCCTCCATTTTCACTGTTTCACATAGCCTTGAGGCACACACCATACCCAGAGCTACTGTTAGCGTTTATGGGACCCTGTGTAACTAAGCCTCCTCTTCTCTGCTCCCTACCTCTCGCAGAGCTTCTACCAGGCTTCCTCCCTTCCTTTCCCCTCCCACTTTTCCTCTGTGATGCCAGGTTTCCTTGGGGCTAGTGGAGCTGCAGAAACTGAGGGCTCCTCTCCGCCTCCGGCCTGGCAGGAGGGAGACCTCAGTAGTGGCTGGCTGCTGTCGAAA